GAGGGTCATCCTCGGACACATGGGCGAGGGTCATCCTCGGACACATGGGCGAGGGTCATCCTCGGACACATGGGCGAGGGTCATCCTCGGACACATGGGCGAGGGTCATCCTCGGACACATGGGCGAGGGTCATCCTCGGACACATGGGCGAGGGTCATCCTCGGACACATGGGCGAGGGTCATCCTCGGACACATGGGCGAGGGTCATCCTCGGACACATGGGCGAGGGTCATCCTCGGACACATGGGCGAGGGTCATCCTCGGACACATGGGCGAGGGTCATCCTCGGACACATGGGCGAGGGTCATCCTCGGACACATGGGCGAGGGTCATCCTCGGACACATGGGCGAGGGTCATCCTCGGACACATGGGCGAGGGTCATCCTCGGACACATGGGCGAGGGTCATCCTCGGACACATGGGCGAGGGTCATCCTCGGACACATGGGCGAGGGTCATCCTCGGACACATGGGCGAGGGTCATCCTCGGACACATGGGCGAGGGTCATCCTCGGACACATGGGCGAGGGTCATCCTCGGACACATGGGCGAGGGTCATCCTCGGACACATGGGCGAGGGTCATCCTCGGACACATGGGCGAGGGTCATCCTCGGACACATGGGCGAGGGTCATCCTCGGACACATGGGCGAGGGTCATCCTCGGACACATGGGCGAGGGTCATCCTCGGACACATGGGCGAGGGTCATCCTCGGACACATGGGCGAGGGTCATCCTCGGACACATGGGCGAGGGTCATCCTCGGACACATGGGCGAGGGTCATCCTCGGACACATGGGCGAGGGTCATCCTCGGACACATGGGCGAGGGTCATCCTCGGACACATGGGCGAGGGTCATCCTCGGACACATGGGCGAGGGTCATCCTCGGACACATGGGCGAGGGTCATCCTCGGACACATGGGCGAGGGTCATCCTCGGACACATGGGCGAGGGTCATCCTCGGACACATGGGCGAGGGTCATCCTCGGACACATGGGCGAGGGTCATCCTCGGACACATGGGCGAGGGTCATCCTCGGACACATGGGCGAGGGTCATCCTCGGACACATGGGCGAGGGTCATCCTCGGACACATGGGCGAGGGTCATCCTCGGACACATGGGCGAGGGTCATCCTCGGACACATGGGCGAGGGTCATCCTCGGACACATGGGCGAGGGTCATCCTCGGACACATGGGCGAGGGTCATCCTCGGACACATGGGCGAGGGTCATCCTCGGACACATGGGCGAGGGTCATCCTCGGACACATGGGCGAGGGTCATCCTCGGACACATGGGCGAGGGTCATCCTCGGACACATGGGCGAGGGTCATCCTCGGACACATGGGCGAGGGTCATCCTCGGACACATGGGCGAGGGTCATCCTCGGACACATGGGCGAGGGTCATCCTCGGACACATGGGCGAGGGTCATCCTCGGACACATGGGCGAGGGTCATCCTCGGACACATGGGCGAGGGTCATCCTCGGACACATGGGCGAGGGTCATCCTCGGACACATGGGCGAGGGTCATCCTCGGACACATGGGCGAGGGTCATCCTCGGACACATGGGCGAGGGTCATCCTCGGACACATGGGCGAGGGTCATCCTCGGACACATGGGCGAGGGTCATCCTCGGACACATGGGCGAGGGTCATCCTCGGACACATGGGCGAGGGTCATCCTCGGACACATGGGCGAGGGTCATCCTCGGACACATGGGCGAGGGTCATCCTCGGACACATGGGCGAGGGTCATCCTCGGACACATGGGCGAGGGTCATCCTCGGACACATGGGCGAGGGTCATCCTCGGACACATGGGCGAGGGTCATCCTCGGACACATGGGCGAGGGTCATCCTCGGACACATGGGCGAGGGTCATCCTCGGACACATGGGCGAGGGTCATCCTCGGACACATGGGCGAGGGTCATCCTCGGACACATGGGCGAGGGTCATCCTCGGACACATGGGCGAGGGTCATCCTCGGACACATGGGCGAGGGTCATCCTCGGACACATGGGCGAGGGTCATCCTCGGACACATGGGCGAGGGTCATCCTCGGACACATGGGCGAGGGTCATCCTCGGACACATGGGCGAGGGTCATCCTCGGACACATGGGCGAGGGTCATCCTCGGACACATGGGCGAGGGTCATCCTCGGACACATGGGCGAGGGTCATCCTCGGACACATGGGCGAGGGTCATCCTCGGACACATGGGCGAGGGTCATCCTCGGACACATGGGCGAGGGTCATCCTCGGACACATGGGCGAGGGTCATCCTCGGACACATGGGCGAGGGTCATCCTCGGACACATGGGCGAGGGTCATCCTCGGACACATGGGCGAGGGTCATCCTCGGACACATGGGCGAGGGTCATCCTCGGACACATGGGCGAGGGTCATCCTCGGACACATGGGCGAGGGTCATCCTCGGACACATGGGCGAGGGTCATCCTCGGACACATGGGCGAGGGTCATCCTCGGACACATGGGCGAGGGTCATCCTCGGACACATGGGCGAGGGTCATCCTCGGACACATGGGCGAGGGTCATCCTCGGACACATGGGCGAGGGTCATCCTCGGACACATGGGCGAGGGTCATCCTCGGACACATGGGCGAGGGTCATCCTCGGACACATGGGCGAGGGTCATCCTCGGACACATGGGCGAGGGTCATCCTCGGACACATGGGCGAGGGTCATCCTCGGACACATGGGCGAGGGTCATCCTCGGACACATGGGCGAGGGTCATCCTCGGACACATGGGCGAGGGTCATCCTCGGACACATGGGCGAGGGTCATCCTCGGACACATGGGCGAGGGTCATCCTCGGACACATGGGCGAGGGTCATCCTCGGACACATGGGCGAGGGTCATCCTCGGACACATGGGCGAGGGTCATCCTCGGACACATGGGCGAGGGTCATCCTCGGACACATGGGCGAGGGTCATCCTCGGACACATGGGCGAGGGTCATCCTCGGACACATGGGCGAGGGTCATCCTCGGACACATGGGCGAGGGTCATCCTCGGACACATGGGCGAGGGTCATCCTCGGACACATGGGCGAGGGTCATCCTCGGACACATGGGCGAGGGTCATCCTCGGACACATGGGCGAGGGTCATCCTCGGACACATGGGCGAGGGTCATCCTCGGACACATGGGCGAGGGTCATCCTCGGACACATGGGCGAGGGTCATCCTCGGACACATGGGCGAGGGTCATCCTCGGACACATGGGCGAGGGTCATCCTCGGACACATGGGCGAGGGTCATCCTCGGACACATGGGCGAGGGTCATCCTCGGACACATGGGCGAGGGTCATCCTCGGACACATGGGCGAGGGTCATCCTCGGACACATGGGCGAGGGTCATCCTCGGACACATGGGCGAGGGTCATCCTCGGACACATGGGCGAGGGTCATCCTCGGACACATGGGCGAGGGTCATCCTCGGACACATGGGCGAGGGTCATCCTCGGACACATGGGCGAGGGTCATCCTCGGACACATGGGCGAGGGTCATCCTCGGACACATGGGCGAGGGTCATCCTCGGACACATGGGCGAGGGTCATCCTCGGACACATGGGCGAGGGTCATCCTCGGACACATGGGCGAGGGTCATCCTCGGACACATGGGCGAGGGTCATCCTCGGACACATGGGCGAGGGTCATCCTCGGACACATGGGCGAGGGTCATCCTCGGACACATGGGCGAGGGTCATCCTCGGACACATGGGCGAGGGTCATCCTCGGACACATGGGCGAGGGTCATCCTCGGACACATGGGCGAGGGTCATCCTCGGACACATGGGCGAGGGTCATCCTCGGACACATGGGCGAGGGTCATCCTCGGACACATGGGCGAGGGTCATCCTCGGACACATGGGCGAGGGTCATCCTCGGACACATGGGCGAGGGTCATCCTCGGACACATGGGCGAGGGTCATCCTCGGACACATGGGCGAGGGTCATCCTCGGACACATGGGCGAGGGTCATCCTCGGACACATGGGCGAGGGTCATCCTCGGACACATGGGCGAGGGTCATCCTCGGACACATGGGCGAGGGTCATCCTCGGACACATGGGCGAGGGTCATCCTCGGACACATGGGCGAGGGTCATCCTCGGACACATGGGCGAGGGTCATCCTCGGACACATGGGCGAGGGTCATCCTCGGACACATGGGCGAGGGTCATCCTCGGACACATGGGCGAGGGTCATCCTCGGACACATGGGCGAGGGTCATCCTCGGACACATGGGCGAGGGTCATCCTCGGACACATGGGCGAGGGTGTCTCTCTTGCACCGGACGAGCTGGAGAGGCGAGAGGCGACGGGGTGCTGCTCCTTTTGAGGCGCCTCAAAAGGCGAGAGGCGACGGGGTGGTGCTGCGGCAGTCGTGTGATAAAAGTTGGGTTTCGAGACGTCTTAAAACCCATCTTCTCAAACCCAACTTGTATCTCGAGAGGCGACGGGGTGCTGCTCCTTTTGAGGTGCCTCAAAAGGCGAGAGGCGATGGGGTGGTGCTGCGGCAGTCGCGTGATAAAATTTGGGTTTCGAGACGCCTCAAAACCCAACTTTTATCTTGAGAAGCGACGGGGTGCTGCTGCAGTCGTCGTGCCGTGTGGTACTCACTGTAAGTGCTTTACTTAACCTTAAATTTGGTACTCAGTATAAGTGTGTTACTTAATCTTATGCGTGGTACTTTCCATAAGTGCGTTACTTAACCTTATGTTTAGTTCTCGCTACATGTGCTTTACTATTTTGTTTATCACTCACTGTAAGTTCGTTAGTTAACCTTATGTTTGGTACTCACTGTAAGTTCATCCCGTCGTCACCCCCCGCTCCTCCGGGGGCACATTATTGACCACTTTGGGAACACGACCTGCTCAACATCTGAGCAGGCACAGAAGCGCATTTTGCTACCGCCTATGCTTCCCTTCGGACTCCCTCGCTTCCCCCTCCCCTGCCCTCTTCCCCACCCACAGATAACGCACCACTTAGAGTACGCTGCCATGGTCAACATCTCAGCAGGAACGGAGCTCGCCACATCGTACGGTCTCAAGACCAACGACCAACTGCTGGCCACCTACGGCCTCGTGCTCCATGTTCCCACCCCTTTGACGGGACGCCCCTCTTTCACAACCTCTAACCCTTTGTTTGTGCTTTCACTCCCTCACTTTGTTTCTCTTTACCTCCCCTCGTCCTTCCTTCCTGCGTCCCCCATCCCTCACACTCTCCAGACAACACATCAATTCGATTACATTGCAATGCTTAACGTCTCAGCAGGAACGGAGCTCGCCACATTGTACGGCCCCAAGACCAATGACCAGCTGCTTTCCATCCACAGCTTCGTCCTTGACCCCATTCTGACTCATTACCCTCTTTCTCCTTCCCTCCCTCCCTTCCCCCTCCTCCAGATAACACACCAATTCGAGTACATAGCCATGCTTAACGTCTCAGCAGGAACGGAGCTCGCCACATCATACGGTCCCAAGACCAACGACCAGCTGCTCGCCACCTACGGCTTTGTTCTCGACTCCAACCCATTTGACGGTGCCCCTCTCTTTGAGAACCTTACTGAGGCGGTGGGTGTGGTGGCGGCGCTGCTGGCCAATGGGGGTGGTGGGCGAGGAGGGAGGGGGGGAAGAGGGGAAGGGAGCGGGAAAGAAGGCGAGGGTGACGGTAGTGTGGTGGCGGGCGTGCTAGCAAGTGAAGGGGCGAGGGAGTTGGAGGAGATTGGGGGAGAAGAGGAGAGGAAAAGGAGGAGGGAGGTGTATCCGGGGGAGGTGGAGCTGAAGAGGGCTCTGGAGGAGATCTGGCTGACTGAAGAGCCTCCAGCCGCACAGGCAGCCGATGGTGCTGATAGTAGCAGCAGTGGTGGCAGGGGCAGTGATGTTAGCAGCAGTGATGGTAGCAGCAGTGATGGTAGCAGCAGTGATGGTAGCAGCAGTGATGGTAGCAGCAGTGATGGTAGCAGCAATGGTGGCAGTAGCAGTCGGGGTGAGGCTAGCACCAGCAGCGGCAGCAATGGTGGCGACAGCACCAACAGCAGTGGCGGCAATGACGGCAGCAGCAGCAGCAGGAGCAGCAGCAGCAGCAGGAGCAGCAGCACCCCTCACGTCCCAACTCCCAGCAAATGGACACCCTCAGGAGCATCAGGCAAGGCTCTGTACCGTGACTTGCTGCGCGTGGCAGCCAAGGCAGTAGCAGCGGTGGTGGCGGAGGGAGAGGACGGCAACTACACTGACGTGCTCAAAATGCCCCAGTATAACCTCAAGCAGCGCGTGAATGAGGATGCGTGGAAGCGAGTGGGCAGGCGCAAGGGGGAGAGGAGAAGGACGGTAGCATCTGGGAGCAGCGTCGGTGGTGGTGCTTCTGGTGTTTCTGGTTCTGACGGTGGGCGTGGGGGTGATGGTGTGGAGGGAGAGAGTGGGGACGACGGGGAGGAGGAGGAGGAGGAGGAGGAGGAGGAGGAGGAGGAGGAGGGAGAGGGGAGGAAGAAAGATGAGAAGGAGAGGATGGGTGAAGAGCAGGAGGTGGCTGTGTGGGCGTACGGGGTGGTGGAGCCCACTCTGCTGGCGTCGCTAGCAGCCGTGTGGCACCTCGTGCACTACGAGCAAGGTGCGTATTGTTTCTTAAAGAGTGCTGTTCTTGAACACTCGCCTTAAGCTCTCTGCTAGCATCACTGGCAGCCGTGTGGCACCTCGTGCACTATGAGCAAGGTGCGTGCATTCCTGGTCGAGAGGGCTTCTGAGGTGTCTCAGGTAAGGAGAGGATGGATGGGTGAAGAGCAGGAGGTGGCAGTGTGGGCGTACGGGGTGGTGGAGCCCACTCTGCTGGCGTCGCTGGCAGCTGTGTGGCACCTCGTGCACTACGAGCAAGGTGTGTGCGTGTGTGGTCGAAAGGGCTTCTGAGGCACCTCAGGTAAGGAGGAGATGGGTGAGGAGGAGATGGGTGAGGAGGAGATGGGTGAGGAGCAAGAAGAAATCTGACGCTCCTACCGACGGCAAGGGGAAGGGCCAAGCAGAACATGTCCCAAGACCTCAGGTAAGGAGGAGATGGGTGAGGAGCAAGAGGTTGCCATGTGGGCGTATGGGGTGGGTGGTAGAGCGCACTCTCCTGGCGTCACTAGCAGATGTGCTGCACCTCATGCACCACAAGCAAGGTGCGCACTTTGTCATGCATGCTGTTCCCGAGCTCTACTCTTGAACACTTCATGTGGACACTCATCGTGAACACTCTGTGGTGATGGGTACCCACTCTGCCTTCCCGTCCCTTCCTCCCCCTGTCCCTCGGCCATAGCCGTGCTATGCAGACGTGGCGCTTGGCTCTGTGCTCTACAACTGGGGTGTATCCGCCAATCAATCCTGTCTGGATGTCCTCCCTCCCGATTCCCCCAACCCTCCCACACACTTTCACTCCCTGTCCTTCCCCTTCCCCACTACCCCGTCCACCCTCCCCCCTCTCCCCATCCTTCCCTCCCCCCATACCCCCTCCCCCTTTTCCTCACAAGAGCCGCACTACGCTCAATTGGCACTGGCCTCTGTGCTGTACGGATGGGGCGTCTCTGCTAACAACAGCACCTCTTGCAACCCAACTCCCCTCCCCTTTCCTTCCCTACCTTCCTCCCCTTTTTCCTCACCAAAGCTGCACTATGCTCAACTGGCACGGGCTCTGTGCTGTACGGACGGGGCGTCTCTGCTAGCAACAGCACCTCTTGCAACCCAACTCCCCTCCCCTTTCCTTCCCTACCTTCCTCCCCTTTTTCCTCACCAAAGCTGCACTATTCTCAACTGGCACTGGCTCTGTGCTGTACGGACGGGGCGTCTCTGCTAACAACTGTACCTGCCTGCACCTCCTGCCATATTCCCTTCCCCCATACACTCCTTCCCCCCATCCCCGAACCAAACTCCACAAGAGCCGCACTGTTCTCAATTGGCGCTGGGCTGTGTGCTGTACAGATGGGGCGTCTCTGCCAACAAAGCACCTGTCTGCACCTCTTGCCAAACTCCCTCTCCCCTTCCCCCTCCCCTACTCCCCCTTTTCCCCTCCAGAGCCCAACTACTCTCAGCTGGCGCTGGGCTCTGTGCTGTACGGATGGGACGCATCTGCTTCTACCAACAACAGGACCTGCCTTCACCTCCTGCCGAACTACTCCACCCTTATGCCGGCCGTGGTCGCTGCGGCCGACACCATTCGTCTTCTAGCGGAGTACCGGCTGGCTCGGTACCCCACCATCATGGAAGAGGACGATGCTGTGCTTCGGAAGCTTCAGTCTTGCCAAGCCTGGGGCAAAGGCTCGGCGGAAGGCTTGGCAGGAGAAGGAACAGCAGGGACGGGATTATCCAGGGAGGGTTCGAAATCCGGCAAGGAATGGATGAACTATGAATTAGTTGGGTACAAGTACTAACCCTAAAGTGTTATACCCCTTGTAGGCTAACCCACAATAGCCTAGAGAGAACACAAACATACAGTTTGACACACTTCGTCGCATTGAGCAGTTCCGATCCCAGTGAATAAGCTATTCCTGTCAATTGTGTAAAATATATGACTCTGATTCAAGGCCTATGTTTGGATTTTGACTACTCATGTTTGTTGGAAACATTTGGTTTACGCCTCTGAAGTATCGAGCACTATAATAAAAGAGAAGCATACTCACAGCGAAGCGACACCGAGTCAACCAAAGCGGTTGACAAGGCGACATCTGCAGAAGGTTGAAGCAAAGGTCAAAGGTCAGCAAACTTTGACTTGACAAAGGCAGCGCGGCAGCAAGGACAAATAACTGACTCGCTATTGAGTGGGTTACTTGAGTCGTCGCTGTATCGAACCGCAACAGCAGTTACAGTTAAACCTTTCGTATTCCTTGTAATCATATAGAACCTTGTATCTCTTTGCTATAATCAACACATCTTGTTCTCACATACTAGTGCAAGGTGGTTCAATTAATCCACTATTACGCTTCCGCTAAATACATCACCACTCTAAGAGTTTAGTCTTGAAACGATCCTAAGGACTTCTTCAGCCCAACATGGTATGAGAGCCTGCAAGACAAAACTCAACTCTGTTCAACTTCCTGCAACATCAAAAGACATGGCAACACAAAAAGAAAGAAGCTCGTCTACTGGATCTTCTGGTACTACTCCTACTCCACCGCCTGCCTCTGGACTGCAGACAGAAGGAGGCACAACTTAAAGACCAGCTGCTGAGTCAACTGAGACTCCTGCGAACCAAGCAACCGGCATCGACCCAAGCATGATGGAGAAATTCTTCTCCTTCATGTCGTTCTACGAGCAACATCAACAAGCGGCACCTGCGTGAGAAAAGTAGAACGAGAATGGATGAACTATGAATGAAGTGAGTACATATAGGAAACCCTAATTGGGTTGTACCCCCTATGGGATACCCCACTATAGCCTACACAACAGCATAAGCTATATATATGTTCTGACACACCCCCATAGGCAAAGTGGGGGAGAACAAGGGGTCACAAGACCAGTCAAGCAAAGCAGAGCAAGCTCAGGGTGGATCACAAAGTCACCACACAGTCCGAGCACAACGACAGGGCAACAGGGCCAGTTCACATGCAGGAGTACACATATATATATAGAGCTAGACAAGCAAGAGCAGGTATATATATGTGACAGTACAAGCAAGGTCAAGAAGAGAGCAAGTGAGGCAAGACAGGTACAAGACCCAGCTGGGTGCAGAAGCGCTGATGGTCACAAGGCGCAAGTGCCTTGGTGAACACATCAGCAGTGTTGGCCTCAGAGGCCACGTACGCAAGTCGCAACTGACCACGCTGCTGCAGCTCACGAGCAAGAAAGTAACGGAGAGCAATGTGCTTCGTTCTGTGCTCCAAGCGCTGCTCTCGACACAAGGCCAGCATGGCCTTGTTGTCTACGTACAACACTGGAGGAGAACGAGGCGGCTCTCCAAGGTCAGTCAGCAGGTAGGTGAGCCAGCGAAGCTCCTGTGCAGCCATGGCCCCGGCGTAGATCTCAGCCTCACAACTGGAGCTGAGAACAGAGGACGAGCGAGTAGCCCGCCACGAGACAGAGCCGGAACCAAGACTGAAGGTGTAACCCTGCGACGACCGCTGTGTAGCCTGGTCGTCTGCCCAAGAAGCGTCCGCGTGCCCAGTGAGGACCACTGGACTCCGCCCTCCAAGCACTAGCCCCATGCCCGACGTACTGCACAAGTAGCGCAACACCCTCTTCGCTGCAGCCATGTGCTCTGGTCGGTGTCTCCCAGGAGCAACATAGCGTGAAAGAATGCTAAGAGGGTATGCAAGGTCAGGTCGTGTGCAGGTCATCAGGTACATGAGGCAGCCAACAAGCTCTGGGTACGGGCCACTCGACTCTACGGACTCATCCGAAGGCAGAGCTGAGAGCGAGTGGCGAGTAGACAGAGGAGTGGCCTGAGGCGAGGAGTACGTGAAGCCGAAGCGCTGAAGGACCTGCTGCACCATGTGTGACTGAGTCAAGGTAATGGTGCGGCGTGCTCTGTCCCGAGTGATCTGCAAGCCAAGGTAGCTGCGCAGTTCACCCAGGTCTGTGCACGTGTGTCTCTTCTGCAGCTCGGACTTCACGTAGGCTAGTCCAGCAGTGTTAGCTGTGGCAAAGACCAAGTCGTCGACGTACACGAGGACGTAGAACGGCGGCAAAGAAGTGTCGGTGCGCAGAAACAACGACGGGTCAGCAGTAGAGGGAGCAAACCCAAGAGCCGCAAGCGTAGTCCTCAGTGTGTCGTGCCACTCACGCGGTGCCTGGCGGAGACCGTAGACTGGCCGTCGGAGGCTCCACTGGGTGCCAGGAGGAAAAGTCCCAGTGAAGCCAGGTGGACGGCGCAGCCAGATCTCCTCGTGCAGGCTACCCTGCAAGAAAGCTGTGCTGAAGTCAAGAGAGTGGAGCTCGTAGTCGCGCTAAGCGGCTATGTGCAGCAGCACCCGAAGAGTGGTCATCTTCGGGGTGGGAGAGAAGGTCTGAAAGTAGTCAACTCCCTGCCGCTGACTGAAGCCACGAGCGACGTACCGCGCCTTGAAGACAGGTGGAGAGCCCGGCGGCCGCTTCACCCTGAAGATCCACATGCCACTGACGATGTTCGCCCCAGGAGGGGGAACCGCGTCAACGTAGGTGCCTGTGGACTTCCAGGACGCCATCTCTGCATCCATAGCTGCCTGCCACTGAGAGGAGTAGGGACCCTCTATCGCCTCCGCGTAAGAGCGCGGAGTCGGGATGTCTAGTGCATCCGGGTCTCCCTCAGGGGCAAGTAGTACGGACGCGAGATGAGGTGAAGCAGCAGCCAGACACCGGAACTCCTCCTGCCTGTCCTCAAGGACGTCCGTGCCAAGAGCACACTCACCCCCGACGGACGGAGGACAGACAGACGCAGACTCAGCAACAAGACCGGCAGCGTAGTCTAGACGACAGCGAGCAGCAAAGTCGACGAGCTCAGCAACAAGCGCAGACGCAGCAGTGGACTCAAAAGAGGGGTCAGTGACGACAGTAGCAAGGAGACGTGTGACAGCAGGACTGGCAGCACGAAGAGAGTCCGACTCCGGGTCAGGAAGAGCAGGAAGAGAGGACTCAGGAGGAGAAGGCAAAGGGGCACGCAGAGGAGCAGTGGACGGACGCAGAGACATCCGGTGCGTGCCAGGGACAGGAGGAGGACGCTGACGCGAACCACGACCACTAGTGCGAGCAGCACGGACAGGCGACGCAGGGCGAGACGCAGGCTCACGACGCTCAGCAAGACCTCCAGTAGGACCAGTGTAGGGAGAAGGAGCGGGCAGTGGGGAGGCCGGCTGTAACTGTAACTGTGACAGGACAGGCTGTGGACACTCTAAGGGAGGAGGAGGACCAGTAGAAGGCGGGAGACCAAGAACCTGCTGAAGGAGCGGAACGAAGTACGGTCTAGGCCGCGCGGCGACTCCAGACACAGCAGGGACAGCACCAGTACCCCCAGCGGCAGCACCAGCGCCAGCAGCACCTCCAGCTCCAGGACCTCCAGCAGCACCAGTAGCACCCCCAGCAGGACCGCCTCCAGGACCGACAGCAGTAGCCTCAGCGCCAACGCCCTCAGCAGCTCCAGCTCCAGC